CCTACAGGCCTTGAAGGCTGCGTCCTTCGGGCCCTGGTGTTCCTTGGCCCCGCTGTGATCCAGATGGCAGAAGGATGCAGACAAAACATTACCGGAGTCCAAGAGACCACAGCCCTTTCCAGCCCCACTGCCACTCCCTCCCCTTCCCCTCAGTCTCCCCTACTCCCTGTGCCTCTTCCAGGGCTCCAGCCACTCCCACTTGCTTTTCCTTAAAGGAACAAAACTCCCCCCACCGGACCTCCATGAGCCTCTGTCCTCCCCGTCCCCCTGCCTGCAGCTCCCTCCCAGCCCCGCCCAGCCGGCCCCTCTAGCTCTTGCTGTAGAGCTCAGCCCAATGAGTCCTTCCCCTGGGACCCTTAGGTGGCCCCAAATCAGGTCATACCGCCTCGGTGGCCCCTCATGGCACCAGCCCCTTTTCCTGCCCGGTGCCTTCTGCAGTTGGGGCTCTGTACACATGTGTGGGTCCATGGAGGACGTCTGCCGCCCTCCCGCTAGCCAGTGGTTCTCAACCTTCCTCATGCCCTTTCATACAGCTCCTCAGGTGGTGGTGACCCCGAACCATCACATTATTTTCATTGCTACTTCATCGCTGTAATCTTGCTAGTGTTATGAATCGGGCAACCCCTGGGAAAGGGTCGTTCGACCCCCAAAGGGGTCACGACTCACAGGTTGAGAACCACTGCCTAGACTGTAAGCCCTGTGCAAACAGGCGTGGGAGCTGTGGCTGCTTGCAGCTCTGCCCCTGGGACCTAGTCGATACGGATGGATGAACTACTGACTGCACGACCCAGAGCTGCTTTCTGGGGGTGTCCTCAGGGGACAGGATGTCATTTGAGACGCCTGGCCAAGGGGCAAGTGACCTACCCAAGGTCACACTGCTGGTATGGTGGGCCCAGGGAGAAAACGCAGCCCCATACCCACACGTGTCTATTTCATCACACCGGCTTTCATCTGCTGCCTGGTCCTGACGCACTTCTCTCCTCTTCCTCAAAACGCGGTCCAGGCCCCCCAAGCCAACTTGCAACAGTGCGTTCGTCCAGGTAGACGAGAACCACAGATTCCCAGACACCATGTGTGTATTAGAAGGAGCTTGATTTCAAAGAGCCATTGTACACCGGGAAGACATCCCAGCCAGTGCAGATCAAGTCCACAAGTCCGATATTAGCCCATATGTTTGATATACCAATCTATAAATTCCTCTCCCCACTCCATACCTGCTCCTCCTCACCTTAGTGGAAGCCACTTCTTCTCCCCAAGGGCCGTGACCTAGAAAATCTGAGAGTTGTCCCAGATGCCTTTCCTCCCTTCCGATGGCCCGTCCTGGTCCCCGACCAGCCAGTCTCCAAGTTCAGTCAGCTCACCACCTTAGTCTTACTGGCATCTCCCAGCCAGTGTCTTCTTTTCTGCGCTGCGGCCAGCGTGAGGGTCTGCAATTATAGCCCTGTCCTTATGCTCCTCTGCTCTAAACCCTTCAGTGGCTCCCTGCTGACTGACCTCAGGACAGTGAAACTTGGAGCCTTTTGCAAACTGCCCACCTCGTCCTCCAATCTTACTTTCTGCCCCCACCCTGGAGCACCGTGCTCAACCCTCTTTCCCCTCTCCACATTTGGCAACAACCAACATGCTAGCATCTCTCGGCCTGGGTCTGGGCCTTTGTTTATCATATTCCTTCATCTGACCCTATTCCAGCATTTCCTACTCAGCCCAGCAAATACCTCCTTCAGGAAGCTTGACCTCCCACCTTTAAACATAGGTGAGTGCCCCTCGGCTGTTCCACAGCCTCCTGTCCACCAGTACATCTATGAGGCTGTATCGTGACTCACGGATTCCTCGTGGCTCCCGGCTCCAGGGACAGCTTATGGCAGTAGGGCTTTGTCTGCCCTGGCTCCCGGGACACCGTGGCACCGGGCACATACACACCAAGGCAGATGAATGAATGAAACCCTTCAGACTTCCCAGCAGCTGTCCCTTTCAATTGGCCATGTGCTTGAGGGCTTGGGGGTAACTTCCTTTTCTTCCCTGTCCCTTGTTCTGTCTTAGATTGCCTGACCTCCTGGCCCCTAGTTTCTGGTAAGGAAGGGACTCTTCCCCCTGCCCTCCATCTGAGGGCACCTCTCTGGCCAGGTGACCTGATTAATTGTCCCCATGCTGTACCAGCACTTTGACATCTTGTCAAGATCTCTTGTCTTTTTTCTTCCCTCTGAAACTTCTTCTTGCTTTGATTTCCATACATTTTGCCCATTTGATTTCCTGCTGATGTTCAACTTGGTGCAACCCAGGCTGATCCAAGCCCCTGGCGTAATTTAGGTAACAGTTCAGTGATCTCATCCCTCATTTAACTTTCCATTTCCATCTCACTTAGGACACTGTGAAATCTAGGATACATGGAATATTTCCTGCCCAAACTTACTTCTCCCTTGGCAGTTCTTATCAAAGTTCATGTCTTCAGCACCGACCCAGTTGCCTCAGATGTAGACCTCAGAATCACCACCCACTGTGCTCCCCTCTCCGGCCTCTTCACGCCCAGGCCATCTTTCAGATGATCTGTCCTCACATTGAACAGCCTTTCAAGCCCAGCCTTGGCTGACTCTGCTGCCATCACTGTTTCTTCTTCAGGGTTAAAATCATCTCCTGACTGGTTCTCCTGCCTCTAGCCATATGCCCACATCCATCCATCTGTCTATCCGTCCATCCATCCATCTATCTAACCATCCACTTAGCTATTGATCCATCTATCCCTCCACACATGCACCCACCTATCCATCCATCCATCCATCCATCCATCCATCCATCCATCCATCCATCAACCCATCCATCCCCCTACCTATCCAGTTATCCATTCATCCACCCATGCACCCACCTACCTATCCATCCATCTACCTATCCAACTGTCCATCAATTCATAAGATGCATCCTATGAGCTTTCGAAGCCACATGATGGTTAGCCCATACTTCTTAAATAATTTCATATTGGCCCACCACCCACAAGCAAGGATTCTCCATCCTGGCTGCACATTTGAATTGTCTGTGGTTGCCCTTAGCTACGATGGAATTCGCCCCTGACTCATGGTGACTCATGTATAACAACATTTTTTAGATTCTTCTACAGAGTGTTTTTAAAAAAATCAATGAATTAGTCTTAGATGAAGCCAGTGTTTTTAAAATATCCCCCAAGTGATTCTAACTGCTATCTAGATAGATCACAGTGCAGCCTGGAGGATATGGCCCAGAATCCTTAGCCTTGCATTTTTATACCCTCCACAACCAAGGCTTTATTATCTCTCCAGCCTCCTGTTCTACCACACTCTGAATTCCAGCTCTACTGAGATATTTCCCTTTCTTTATGCCTGCAGTTCCCTTTGCCTACACCTCTACTCTTTGTCTGTTTCGTTGTCCCTTTGGAACACTCCTATTCATTCTTCAAGATCCAGCACAAGTATGATTTCTGCTCATGGGTCTCTCTTCCTCAGTATTTACAGTATGTCTAGCAAGTTGTTGGGCACTGGTGAATAAAGCAGAAGCAGTCCCTGTTCTGTAAGATAGTATAGTAGCCTAAGGAGGGTGGCGTGGGAGTGGAACCCCAAAAGGTAGAGGCTGTCAATCCTGCAGGTGCATCAGAACCTCTGAAGGACTGGTTAGAGCACAGATGTTGGACTGTACACCCAGAGTTTCATGTTCAATAGGTCTGGGGTGACCCTGAGACTGTGCATTTCCAACAGGTCTCTGAGTGAGGTTGATGCGGCGGCCTGGGAACCTCGCTTTGAGGACCCCGTAGCCTGTGGTCAGAGAAGGCCTTGCTGGAGAAGGGTCTTTGTCTCCTGTGGCTGCCTTGATAAAGTCCCACAAACTGGATGACTTAAAAGCACAGGCATTAACTCCCCCACGGTTCCGGGGGATTAGAGGTCCCAAATCACAAACCCACAAAGCCATGATCTCTGTGAAGGCTTTTAGGGAAAGATCCTTTCTTGTTTCTCTCTAGCAATCCTTGGCATCCACTGGCTTGTAGATGTATTACAACATTCTCTGCCTCTCTCTTCACGTGGCCATCTGTTTCTCTGTCCTTCTTTCTCCTATAAAGACACTGGTTATTTTGAATAAGGACTATTCTGCTTCTGTGCGATCTCTTGTTAACTGACGAAATCCTAGAAGACCCTACTTCCAAACAAGCCCACACGCACCATTGCTAAGACTTGAACGTGTCTTTTTTGAAGACCCCAATCAACTCCTCAAGAGGAGTTGTCACTGAAGCCAAGACCTGGGGAGAGAGGAGGAGGCATTCCAGGTGGAAGGAGAAGCAAGAGGGAAGAACTTGGCACAAAAGCCTATGGAACCACGTGGCGGTCCGCAGAGAAGAGTCAGGAGAGTAGAGCGTTGTCCAGCTTCTCAAGGGGAAGTGACACTCGTATCACCGCCCACTCTGGTTCTTTTCTTCTGCTGCAATCACTTGGCTGGGGGACCTCCAAGCTACCGGCTGTGTCACGGTCACCTTAGTGTGCCCCAAGGATGGACACAGGACTCAGATGCTGAGTAATTTCTGATTGGGTTGGGTTGTTGGCGAAGTGCTGGGCTGCCAAGTGTAAGGGCCAGAAGAAGAGGAACAAGGAGGAGTCTACTCTTTGTTCTTTCCACTGGGCTGCTGGTAAACCACACTGGTGCTTCAGACCTCCTCGGTCTAGTGCGTCTGAATCCAAGGAAGGCAGCTTTGTCCTAGAAGGGAGAGGCGTGGGTGGTAAAAACTGCCATCAGTGGAGGCAGAGACCGGGATAGGACCGGCTTCAAAGACCTGGGTTTGGACTCAACACTGCAAATTATGTGACCTTGGGAGGATCACTCCCCCTCCGGTGGCTTTTGGTTCCTCAGCTGGGAAATGAGTTAGAATTAAATCTGACCTTGAAGGGAGGCTGTGAAGGTCAAAGAGTCAAGGTGTGGGGTGTGGGGCAATTAAAACGTGATCAATACTTGTTGGGTGAAGCCAACCGGGGCTGCTTTGGTTTCCGCAGGAAGGACCAGCACCTCCTCTCGCCGGTGAACTGTTGGTATCTCGTTCTGCATCAGACCAGGCGGGAGAGCCGAGACCATGCCACCCTCAATGACATCTTCATGAACAATGTCATCGTCCGCCTCTCCCAGATCAGTGAGGATGTCATCAGGCTCTTCAAAAAGGTAAGCAAGTGAGCTACGGTGCCCCCATCTCTGCCCGAGGGTGGCCAGGACAGCACTCTGCCAGCGGGGGTAGGATGTGGTTTGGAGTCTGTGAGGCCGGGGTGAGGACTGTGGCAGAGGGGTTACAGGGCGCAAGGGCTGAGCACTGGATTGGCACACCAGATCCTGCATCCTGACCCTTGGATATGCCCTTTAAAGGCTCTGACACCTCAGCCACATCCACAGCCCTCACCCCCAAAATAAAAACCATTTCTTAATTATGCAAGTAATACCTGTCCATTGTAGGACATGTGGAAAATGGAGACAAACACACACACATGAAATCAAATGACCATTCAGAAAGACTTACTTTGGTGTTCCAGACATTGATTATTTTAATGTATGTGTGCCCACAGTTTTCTGCGAGTTCTTATATTGATGCATTTTCTGGTATACAGATACGTTTTCCCCAAATGAGGGGATACTGTCCCTCTGATTTCATTATTGGCCGCTGGCCCCTAGCACTCTAGTTCAAAGGCAGCCCTGGAGGCCTGTGTGTCAGGCTGCTAACACGAGCTCTCTCTGACTTGGAACCACTCCTTAGCAGTGAGCTTAGATTTGGTTTCTGGAGTGCACAGTGTGGCGTTTCCTTATTGGCGGTGGCCCTGAGGGTTTTCTGGGCTGTAGAAGGTTCCAGAGAAGAGCCCCAGGTAGACTTCTCCCACAGAGCCACCGTGGCTTAGAACCACGAGCCTTTGGATGAACCTTCAAGGGCTTAACCCTGTGCCATCAGGGTGCCTTGATTCCGTTGTGTCCGTGTGCCCCGGCTTGGCAAACCAATCTCTTGCTGTTGAGCAGTTTGGTTATGCCCACCGCTTGACTCTTATAAAATAATTCTGTGTCATGCCACAGTTCACAGCCACTGTCATCCTCCTAGATGCCAGCTTCTGCTAGAGGAATGTCAGGGTGGCAGTGACCTGGAGGGGGTTGGGGGTTGACCAAGGAAGAACACAGAGGAAGAGATGGGGCCAGGCTCACAGCTGCTATAGAGGGCATTCCCCACAGCCACACGGCTTCCAGAGGTAGAGGGCTCCCGCAACCCTCAGAGGGGGCCGGGAAGCCCAGTGGGGGAGGAGGAAAGCAGGGGAACCATGGTGTACTGCTGCAGGAAGGCAATGGTCAGAGAGCGAGGAAGGACAGCCAGACAGACGTCTGGGCGTCTTGATACCTACAGAGTTCTTCTTATCTGGGGTTAGCAGATGTGGGGTACCATTTCTCTTATCAGGGTAGGTAAAGGAGGGAACCCCCAAAGTGGTTACAAATCTTCTAGTTGGATCATGGGTAAACTACTTTAAAAAATTGAATTTTCAACCAGTGGCCTTCCACATAGTTGGCAGTTCAAAACCACCAGCCACTCCTCAGGAGAAAACCAAGGCATTTTACTCCCATAGACAGTTATGGTCTCTGAAACCCACAGCGGGTCACGGTGAGGCAACGTTGATTCTAGGGCTGTGAGATACTTACTGTGAAGAAGTAATCGGCCTGCGGCCCAAACACAGAAACCAGCTTGGGCTCATTTATGTAACCAGGGACAAAAGCATGCTCATTTCTCAGGCTTTTTATTTTTTGGATAGCATGCCCAATTGCTCTCTGAAGCGTTTTGCCCATTTGAGTGTGGAGGGAGCAGTGCGTCTGTCTGTCCCCAGAGCGCTCTGTATCCTGAGCTACAGGGCTCGTGCCTGGCATCTGCGAGGTGCTGGGTAAAGGTTTGTAGAACTCAACTCGCTTCAGTGATCCTCAGTTTTCCCATCTGTAAAATGGGCAAGGCCTCTGTGCACCTTCCATTCTCGGTTTATCAAATGGACTTTAGCTCCATTACTTCTCGGGGGGCAGTGTGAGGACGTAATGAAACGGGGTGTGTGCAAGACGCAGACATTCTTGTGAAGTGGGTTCAGGCACGGCCTCGGGCTCTAGCGCCTTCAGTCCTTCGGTTCCTCCTCCTGGTTCTACTGTGAGCTGGGTGCCTCCTGGTTTGTAGCTTAACCTACCTGTGCCTCCGTGCCCTCCCTTGGGAAATGGAGATAGAGATACTCTCACGCCCCTTCCTGGGTGGTTACCAGTCTAGAGAACGGTGCCTGGCATTTCGTCAGCATGCAGTGACTGCTACTACAAGAATAGAAGGGACGAATATTGTTCTTAGTATTTTTACAACTCAGTGGTGTGATCATCTTAGAGCAGTGGTTCTCAACCTTCCTAATGCGGCGACCCTTTAGTGCAGGTCCTCGTGTGGTGGTGACCCCCGACCATCACATTATTTTCGTTGCTACTTCATCACTGTCGTTTTGCTGCCGTGATGAGTCAGGCGACCCCTGTGAAGGGGTCATTCGACCCCCAGCTTGAGAACCGCTGTCAGAGGTTGTGTGATCATCACCACAGTCAGCTGCAGCTCGTTTTCTTCTTCCTTGTCCTCAATGACTCCACATTCCCCGCACCCTCCCCCCACAACCTTCCTCCCCAAACCCTTGCGGGTTTCCAAGACTGTGAGTCTTTACAAGAGGAGAAAGCTTGTCTTTCTCCCTCCGTGTGGCTGGTGGTCTAGAACTGCCGATGGAGCGGTTTGCAGCCCAACTCGCAACCACTGCGCCACCACGACTCCTTGGCCATAACCCTGAGAAACGACCAAAGCAGTTACTGCCTGGACCCGTCCTGGATTTCATGTACAGAAAGACAAACCAAAAAACAAAACCAACCCCCAAACCCAACAATTATACCCAACTGAAACAGAGAAAAGCCTCAATTGGGAAGAAAGCAGAAAAGCACACCGACTAGAGCACATTTAAAATGGGTCGGAAGGGAGAACAAATGGTAACATGTTAAATTTTAACCTAACTACGTCTGCACCCATCCACTTTCCAATCACTGTCTGATAGCAAAGCGATTCCCGTCCTTGGCCAATGGTCCAAGGGGAGTCTCCAGGGGTGGGCCCTGCAAATGGGCTTTCACTGTCATCCGTAGCAGCCTGCCAACTGAGGACTCAGCATGAAGCTAGCTCTAAGACAGTTCCCTCCTGTGGGCTTGGATTTTACTATTTGTGAGGGGGCTTCTCGAAGGGGCCCTGATGGGATAATGGTTACATGTTGTGTTGCTAACCACAAGGTCAGCAGTTCGAAACCACCAGCAGTCTGCTGCTGGCCAGATCCCGCTTTGGACGCTGTCGTTTGTCCAGTTCTGCCCTGTTCTTCAGGGCAGCTGTAAACTGGACGCTACTTGAAGGCGATGGGTTTGGTTTCGGTTTTATTATTCCTAAAATAATCTAGCTCATTTCCTCTTCTCTGAGGTGCCTATTGCTTGTGATTTTTGATCTATGATTATTTTTTTATATTAAAAACATTCAATGACAAACTTCACATCCTGCCTCAGTGTGATACCACCCACCTTCCCAGAGTAACGGGGCCCATAGTGATCGCTGCGTCCCCACCCTTGTAACCTGGGGATCCCGGCCACGTGTTCAGCAAAAAGGGAACTGGTGGTTGTGGTTAGGGATCCTAAACAGGGAGACTGTGCTGAATTATCAGAGGGACTGTGGGGATTTAGGCCTGACCCAAAGGTGCTGACGGCCTCATCCAAACCTGGCCTCCAGCCTCCCTCACACCCTTGGGGCCCTCCCTCCTCTTGGTGGCCTATGCAGGACTCCATGCTAGCAAGGTGACAATGAGTCAGAAGGCATGTGGCAGTGGGGCTGGTGGGGACTGTAGGGAGACTGTGTGTGTGTGCGTGTGACTGAGTGACTGGCGGGGGCTGGCCTTTCTCCTGGACCCAGTAGCTCTGCAGCCCCGGTTGCCAGGTCTTCAGACTTTTCCAGGAGACGTCAGATGGGCACTCTCATCCGGAAGCGACTGGTTTTCAAAGCAGGTGGTGGAGTTGAAGAACTCTGACAAGTGCTCAGAGGGCCACAGGGAGCAGCCTGTCCCAGGTGCCAGTTTCACAGCTTTGGTGTCTGGGGTTGGTTCAAGCATGAGGAGGAGGAGACATTAATTTAAGATTGAATCTCTCCGTTGTCTGGACCTGGATTATCCACTTTGAGGATGGCTTACACGGATGGCAAAATTGCCATCGCCGGGCTCAGCCCCTTCTGCCACACCGCAGGCTTCTTGTTCCCTCCTCTCCCGAGGCTGTGTTTAAGAAACGCAATCCAAGTTTAATATTCGGCTGAGCAAACATAATTAGGAAGGTAAATACACTGAGAGGGGAAAGCATCTCCCTGTGCTTTCCAGAACCCAACTAAAGGGAGACTTGGACCGTTGATCCCGTCACAACCCGTACCCACCCCCCACCCCCCACCCCTCGCCACCCCCACCCCTGGGTGGGAGGGACTCATAGAGAGAGGGGCAGCAGGGCCTTTAAGAAATGAAGGGTCTTTTTCCTGAGCCGAGCCCTGGGCCAAGCGAGATAAATCTTTTCAGTGCTCATTTAGGCTGACAGCAGCTTGCCTTGTGATGGAGGTTAACAGGGTGGAAAATAATGAAAAAAATGTCTACAGCTGAGCTCCTGGCAGCCTCGTTACCACGCCTGGAACAAAGGGCAGCCCAGCGCCATGGGCCGCCAGGGACAGGAGCCTGGGCCTGGCTGGCCCCTTTTGCCCAGCGTGGCCGCTTTGTCTGGAACCGGTTATGTGTCATCTCAGACGTGAGGGAGCTCGGGCTCTCTGGTGAAGAGCCGTTCCTGCAGGCAGGCTATATTGGGAGGTTTGCTAAGTAGCACAAGTTGTTGAATGCGACATTGAGACTGGGCAATGTAACCCCCACCTAATCCACAATAAAAGGTCATTCCTGCAGACCTCAAAGCACCCATCCTGTTCTCTGTGGAGGCTCGTCTCTGCTCAGTGTGGGCACCGAGAGCCTTCCTCCCCTCATTTTACAGATGCAAAGGCAGAGCGTTGGGGCTGCAGGGAGAACCCAGGCTTGGTGATTTGGGCCTGTGGTCATCACTAGCAAAAGGCGGTATGGCTGAGCTTTCGAAGC